AATTGAGTACCAATAAGGAATTATTTGTCTGAATCACAAAATATCAAGTAGCAGAAAATATATTATTCCAGAGTATTTCTAGAAAAATAACAAATTGAGCCATTTTATCTAGATATAAGGAAAATCCTTTACCACTAGAACCATCAATATTGGAACAAGTTGCCTGGGGAAGCCGTTCAGTCCTAGGTTTTTTAAGATTAATGTGGATAAAGCCTGGAACTTGACTTGATCCTGCTCTGAGCCTCAGGTTAGAGACATTCAGGTTCCAGCCTGAATCATGCAGGGGTTCTGGGACATCCATTTCACAAATACTTTTTAAACAAGTGGGAAACTCACAGGCACACCAACTACTGCTCTAGAGGACAGAAGTTTCAGACAGCAGGGAACATGAATAAAAAAGTGCATGTGGGAGTATAATAAGTGGCATAAAGCAAACAAACAAAAAAACTTTCAGAAATTGAATTAGCACCTCTTTAAAGGTAAAAGGGCAATAACTATAAATAAATAATCACAAATAAAAGATTTGAGAAAAGAATTGGAGAAAAAAATTGTATGCTAGTAAAAAATCTATTCTAGACCAAGAACCACTTCAAACACATTGCACAGGGAGGCCAGTGCATGAAGACAGAGACAGCAAAGAGGGAAGGGATACTCTAAATTATTCTAACAAGTTTGTAGCTCGTTGCACTGCAGGGCTCTGCAGAATTTACTAAAAGACAGTTGGGAGATAAACAGAAGGTCTGCAAAAAAACCCTCAGCATAAACTGAAGGCTCTCATTTATTACTGAATTGTAAAAGAGGTTCTAGGCTCTAGCATAAAAGAAATTAGGAGTTCTGAATAATAGATGCAGGTGTTCATATATAGCCTTATAAATAATTCAGAAAATTTAGCATTACAGACTTTCTTAAGGGAAAAAGATAACACTGACACCAGAAGTAGCGGAGATACCAAAACAACCAGGGAGTGAGAGATGGCTGCAGAGCTGTGACAAACGATGGAAGGGGAAAGGAAAACACCCAGAGGAATAAAGAGCTAAAAATCTGTTCTCAAGAACAGTGACACCAGTAATGACATGGAGAGACAGACTCCTTAGAACAGCAGAGGACTTTGCAAGCAGGCTCATCAGCACAGCTCTGCTACCAACACGAGCATCCATAGTTTTTAGACCACAGAGAGCAAAAAAAGGAAGGGTAAGATGAAGGTATCAAAGTGATTGAGCAAGCAATAAAGATGACAGAAGTAATCTTTATGAATGATTGATGAATGAAATGATTGATGGTACACACCTCGGCACCATTAAATGAGGAGTATGGAATGGGAGGAAAAAGTAATGTTACATCATGGGGGGTATTATGGGAAGATAATTCCCTGACAAGTGAATCATATGCTGCTATTTTCATGAATTTTTATTAGCATACTTTATTAAGAGAAGAAACTCTACAGATTTAAATTGAAGAAAGATTTAGGTAAATGGAGCATATTTTGGGAACTGGGGAGGCAGAGAATGGGCTTCTTGAAAAGTGAATGGTTTTCCCACCACGTTCGTCACAGTTCCAAAAGGGGAACAGACTGTGCCCTGTTTCTGCCAAACTAGCACCACCAGAACCAGGAACATGGGCTCTAAGTAAAAAAAATCCAGTAAGGGGTCTGGAGCACACTTCAATTCTGAATTCACAGGGCATTTGCCACAGTAAGAGTTCCACCTGCAAACTTACAGGTGATTCTGAATTTTCTCAGCAGAAGGACTGTTTGACTTTGGCTGCACGTGGCTGAGCAGACTGAATGGGATGATTACCAAACTGATTCATGGCCCACAGATGCTAAACCCAATCCACAAAGGTGTTGAGGCAATGAAACCATCAACACAGCTGAAACATGGATACTAAAAACATGGTCTTAAAAGGTATAGAAAAAATTACAAATCACTTGAAAAAACAAGTCAATGTCACTGCATTACTCACACTTTTAGCAAAACAACTCCTGACATAAAAGTTGGATAAAGCAACATCAGTGCCAAGGCATACACTTGAATTGTCTTTCAGCTGTCCTCTATCCTCATCAATTGCATCAGAGTCAAATAAGAACCTTTGACCCAATACTGACAAGTAAGATATTGGACATCCAGTGTAGTTCTCATAAATCACCACTTGTACTCAGCAAAAAATAAATAATAGAATTCCATATTTTCCCTGAGGTTTAAATGAATATTTTCCATAGTTTTTTTGGAACAAAAACTTGACTAGAACATGTGCTTGAATTTATTTTTTTAAAAAAAAAAACCCACATGAATACCTATTTAATTTCAAAGAAACAGTGTAATTTAGGACAATTGCATCTACTTTTTCCCTGCAGTTCACCTTTAAGTAACTTTATGGAATAAATTTAAAGTGGCTTGATTTTTTCTATAGGATTTCTATTGGATGCACTCACCTTCTCCCACCATTGGTCAGCCATCTTATTTCAAGACAGGATTCACTACTAATTGAAAGAATGAGATGCTCTGGTACCACCTCACCTTGAAAAGAAACTACATCAGGCAAAAGAAATCTTTAAAACACACCAGATAGATTCACAAGGAAAAACTGACTGAAATAAAATATTTGCTTTTTTTCATAATTTTCTCTTCATCATTCATTAAACAAACACTCAACCAAGGACACTTTCTTGGTTTTGACTTAAGCACATTACCTAAAGTACAGAAGCATAAAAAAACCTTCAAGCAGCAAAATTCAGCAGAAGTCACAGTCTCACACTCTCAACTGAGGCAGGCTGTTAAACTGAGTTTAATGAAGTCTTATATTGTTATGATACACTTCCTAACAATGCACCATGTGCAACTACAACTACAGCTCAACAGTTTGAAAGGCTACTCTGCCAGTCCAATGTGCAAAATCTCCAGCACAGCTGGCTTTATATTCAGTGCATAGACTCTGCTTCACAGCCTCAAAGAAAAATATGGCACAGAAGACATCCAAACTTTTCCCATCAGCAGCAAATAGTCCTTGTCTTGAAAGCAAATTTAAATTATTTGAATGAGAGTAATGAGCACAGTGTAGAATAAACACAGAAAATGAAGTATCTGGTATTTTTCATTAATATGCCATGCATGTACGCATTATAGTGATAAATACATATTTTTTGGTTTTCTAAAGCTGATTAACTGTATTTAACACTGTATTCATTTTCTGAGCATTTATATTTTATGAGCTGGTGAAGTTAGTGTATATTGTGATTTCCATTTTTCAAGTGCTGCATCACTTCTGGTACAGGAGAGGGCATTATGATAATAAACGAGTACAGCTCCAGTGTGAGCATGCTGTACTCTCCATTAAAGCTAAACAGAGCATTTTGTGATACCACTCATCTGCAGTCACTGCTGCAAACACCAACACACTTAAACAGAGTAAGTTCATTGCTCAGTAGATTTATGAAACTAACACAAAAAGAAAGTCCACAGGGGTACATTAAAATAAGAGAAAACAATCAGGAAGGTACAAAAGAGAAAAGGTAGGGAGAAGAAGAATGGAAGTTCAAGAGAAGAAATAAAGATACTCCTAGCTTTGCACAATTGCACCAGATTACTTGTGCATACTCAATTTTGTAACTACTGTTGAGAGATATATCTAGGTTTTTAGATTTAGTTAACTTGAAGCCAATCAGGAAAATAACATGCTCACTTCATATGTCAGTCTAGTCACACACTGGATCCTGATTTCAGCTTCTGTACATTGTATTATAAAATAGACACTATTTTAGAAATAACAGACGTGATACCAAAATATCCACTGACCTCCAGAGTGTTTTAGTCAGAAATCAAGAGCAACACACAAGTAACACTCATTAAGTCCAACACTGCAATTCTCAAAGTATACAGTCAACTAACACCCTGAAAACACCCAAAGTCTTTGTAGGCATCAATTTTAAATACCCTTGGCTTGCACTGAGATACTGAAGTCTTTACAGCACTGAAGAACTTTATCTCATGGCACAGAGGACTGGCAAGAGCTGGAGGAGCACGAGGAAGGCCAGGCTTAGGCAGGCAGCCACCAGCACTGCCCTACAGAAATGCAGCAGCTGCTTCACTCCATGTTCCTTACATTCCTTAAAACCTTGAACTTTGGGTGGCTAAGGTCATTATTTCAATGAGGAAACAACTTACACACCTAGCAATTAACAGTAAGGTGTGGGAACCTACTAATAGAAGTATTAATGCTCTGAATGACAAATAAACTGCTTTTTCTCTCACTTTTCTCTATAAACTGCTTGCTCTAATTAATTTTGTTGGGCTCTTCTCTGTTACTTTGTATTTCACTATTGAACAGTGAAGACCCTAAATTGTTTTTGTTAATTCTGCTGAGAACTGATATACTGTCCCATTTTATGCTCCTCCATTTCCAGGTTATTTTTTATATTTCCATTTTTATTTTCTATTTGAATGTGAAATGCAAAATTATCAAGAGATGTAAAAAAAATAACCATAAAATAATACTATATTACAATAGAGTTTACTTGCTAAAATAGGCATGGAGCAGTACATAATTAACTTAGCACAAAAATAAAAATCTTAATTAATATCATAATTACAGGATGACTGATGCAACAGATATAAATGCAGTGAGTAAATTACATGAACATAGTCCAAAATGATCTGGAGCCATACTAAATGGAAATACCTCATGGTGATTTATTTAACCATTCAAAGAAGAAAAATCAGCAGTGGTAAACAAAAAAGTTAATTTGTCATTTGAATGTAACAGTTTACAAGCAACTCCGAGATTATTTCCACTGTTATTAAGAACTGAGCATACAAGAACACCACCTGCACACTCATACACAGGATTTGTTTTTCCCTCTTCCTTTTGTGCTGCTCATGCTTGTGTCCCAGAGAATTGTTGGCTGGTAAGTCTGAAGCAATACTGGTAGATACCCTGTGCCACTAGACAGTGTTATTCATCAGAATCACGCTTGGAATGAGGATAAATGATGCTGATTGGAACAGGAAATGTGATCATGAGACAATTTTCAATTACAACAAAAATATCTTTATTAAAAGCTGTCAGCCAGAGTAGGAATATTTCTGCGCTCCTCCATGTGCCAATATCCTACAGCTCCTGCAAAAGAAGAGAAAAGGCAGTGCTGAAACAATAACTTAGTGCTCTGCACAGGACACTGCAAATTTTTCCACCCTGCTTACCCTTCTCCTCCGCTTCCAGCAATTACTGGCAGGACACAGTCTCTACTCACTCTAGGCAGGACACAGAAGGACAGGGAAAGATTTAGTTCACTGTCAAAACCATTGATTTTTGTACAACTGTACTGTACATTACAATTGCACCACTGCCATGGAACATTTATTGAGATACTCACACTCTGCTTTCCAAATCCTTGCATCATTTACTGAATGAGACTTGGCACCTATGTAGCACCTCCAAGCAGCAGAAGGGCAAAGTAGCAGTGATTCACTGTGGCTGCATGAACACGGTACAGATCAGGTGTTTGGAGCCTCTCCTCCTGTGTCAAGATAACCTCAACACACAGTCAACAGCCTTCTACTAATAGTAAATCCCCCCACACCCCAAACAACATCTCATGGACACGTCCAGATGGTACTCACTGCTTTGATGCCTCCTCCCAGCCCTCTCTCAAGTGGAAATACGAAGTGTCGCTGGCAGATCTTGTGGCAGCTGTCTGTAGCATCACCTTTGACACGTGGATCTCACCTTTGCCCTGCTAGGCTTGTTTCAGCAGTGTACAAGTTACTGTCTACATATTTTTGCATCTGGTTAAACTGCAACTGAGCCCAAACAAAGGCCAAATCTCAACACTGCAAGTCATCTAATTGCATTAGCATACCGTTGTGGTGTCAGTTTTAACAATTCCTCAGGCTCAGCACAGCATTTACCTAAATACCATATTCAAAATGCAGGTTATGAGACTGACTGGGTAGAAGGTCACATTTAAATACACAGCTGTCTGCTCAGTGCTGAAGCCATCCAATTACCTGTATTTCATGATAAAAAGTGTTTAACTTTGAGGCACACCACCTGTGCATGAACCAAGGGCACATGCCTCATCCCAAACCAGAATGTACACATAATATCTGTACGTAGAGCCAGGACCCAGCAAAGCCCCTCTGTGAGCAGATGAGATGCTGTGTCCTCAGCTGAAATCCAACCTGGAAGCACACACCCCTTCTCCCTGAGGTGCCAATGTTTTTGAAGCTGGCAGGATGAAGAAGAGGCTTGTACCTGGCACTAGGAGGTACATGGAAACTTACCCGGAGCCTTACACACAACATCCATTTTTGAGGCTTCAGAAATTCTCTTCTAGCCCACAGGTAACACTTGGACCTTATTAGTGCCCCCTCAATCAGTACACAGTACACATTCACCACGGGAGTGACAGAATAACAGTCCTTATGTATCATCAGGGACAATGCACAACCCCTTTCACAGACTGGTACACACCCCACCTAATGAAACTTTCTCCTCCTCCCAACCCAGACCCCAGCAAAACAGAGAAACCCAGACCAACCTTTGTTACCAGGTTTTGTTTCTTAAATTTCCCTAAGTTTCATCCCAAATGATCAGGAGGTTCAGTTAGAGAGAACAGCAGAAACCAAATACTGGGGAAAGACACCAGAGTAAGTTAAATATATTAAAATTATTTTATCCACCCAGTTCATGGAACTACTATTTTGATAAAGCATCACAATAAAGTGATTAATGACACACATAAGTTAACCATACAGTAGACCTTTTAAAAATAATGCAAGTTAATCCAACCCAGTTCACTGCCAATACAAAAAGTGCAGATAAATTGGAAAAATGACATATCAAGAAAAATAAAGAAGGTAGCACCGAGCCATGGTAGTTAGGTTACAAAATATTCAGGTAAAAATCTTCCCCTCTCAACTAAACTAGAACCATATGCCCTAAACTGAGCCATGATGTGAGGCAGCCTGCAACTTATGCACCAGATGCATGCTGACTTTCATTTAGCAGATATGTTTTCTTAAACAGGTACAACCACTGGCAGAGCTTCCTGCAGCCCCCGAGGAGCCTCTGCTCCATCCACTGCTCTTACAGCGCTCAGGCATCAGCTGCTTCTGTAAAACTCTCTCTTCTGCTGCTCATGTCTCCTTTCTCCAGAGATGATAAATGACTCTTCTTCCCAGCTAAGTGAATCCCATGGAAAGTGCTGAGGGTTTAAATCCATTTCATGCCTCAGGATGCTATTGTTATTTTGCAGCATACTTAAAAAGGACAGGTATTTCATAAGGCAAACTGAAAGATGAGGTCTCAAGAGCAAAGCCTTTAGTGAATTTGGAAAAGGTCCCAAGAGCTTTACTGAGTTTGAAAAGATAAAAACCAGAGGGAGGTAATGAAAATTTGAGGCAGGACGAAGAACAAAGGGATTCAAGGAGCGATGATGATGGTAGAAAAACATTCCAAGCACCAATGCCTACCACAATAGCCCTTCTTAGCTCTTCAGAAATTTACCAACAGAGTACAGATGAAATATTTTAAATGCTTATTGATTAATAAAAATATAATTATTAGAAAGATACGGTTTTGTAGTCCTGGGGATGATTGTGATCAGAATCTCCAATAAGATTTTGTGCAAACAGGAGCATAAAAGCAGTCAGTGTACCATATTATCAGAAAAAGATCTACCTGCTTAATACAATTAAAAAGGAATACAGGGAAAACAGAACTTAATTTGTTTATTTTTTAACATATATCCTTTAGAACACATACAGTTTTGCTCATGCAACTGAACATTCATCCTCTCTTCCAGCAAGTACTGGAGCATTACAGAGTTTATGACAGATAAGAGCTTAAAAATGGTAACTAAGGCAAGGACCATCCTATTTATTGTCATTTTCTGGTTGCTGCTGCAAAACATTGAGTTTCAGAGGAAAGAGTCCAGGCTCCCAGGTCTTGAACTGTGCAAGGACTAGCGAACTTCGCCTTTTTATTTCTGGAATACTGGAAAAATACTAAGTTGTTGCACTATTGCTTATCCTGCCCATCAGCAAAACCGCCTTTTGCAATTTGTAAAAATCCAAATGCACCAGTCACAGTGCATGACACAAGGTCACAGAGTCAATCTGGTTACCTGGACCAGGTATTCCCAGAGTCTAAGGCATACATAATTTTAGCACAATGAGGAGGCAGTGAGAATAGGCACAGTGAAAATACAGCATGCACCATCTTCTCCAGCGTTAACAGCGGCTCAGACTACAGAAAACACATTTCACATTGTAGTCATTGCAAGGAGATATATAAAGTTTAATAGGATCCCATTCTTGACTTTATTACTCAGCTGAATTAAATGCTATTTAATGATTCAGCACTTACAAGTTATTATATACCATTCATACTCCAATGACTTCAGTGAAGCTCCTGATTTTTCCAGAAAAGATGAGTAGTTATAAGGAAAAATACTAATTTTCTGTTTAAGCCTGAAGAGTGAATAAATTAAAAGTAGTGACTACATATAACAACCAAGTACACTGGTTTTCTGTAATTCACACATGGGGAGACTGAGATTGTCACATCAAAATTCTTTGCACCATTGATACTGGTTTAACTGGTAAACAGCCCAAGGATGAAGACTACTTCATGTTATGTCTGTATTTCCATCAAAACTGCAGTGGCTTGGCTGTTGCACTTTATTGGAACATTTTATTTTCAGCTGTATCCACCACAAATGACTTTTATAGCATAAAAGATCATCATTCTGGATCATCAGAGTAGGTGGTGTAGGCAAGTTGCTGACACAGTTGTGTTTGTTCATGTGTTGCAGCAGGTTATTCCAATACTCACCTTTGTGTTTCATGCCTTAGCACACCTTAACTCTACCCATCCTCAGTGTAAGAAATGAGTTTAAAAGGCAACGCCTTGTCTGGGGCACTGGCTTGCAGCTCAGAACATCCACAGATGACTCCCAGGTAAGGATTTCACTCTGCAGCTGGGAGGACATGCACCAGGCCAGTCTCCACAGCAGCTCTCAGCTGCTGGCTGTTGCTCCAAAGTGTTCCATGTTTGCTGTCACAGATATTTGCCCTCAAAAACAAAACTTCCACCAGAAAAGTGAGCCGCTCAGTCCTGAAGTGCAGTTGGCCACTTAGGTAAAAAAAATGATTAAAAAGCTGTAGATACTTGTATCCACATTCTCTCTAATGCTAATGATACATCACTTAGTTTTTTTCATTGTATAAAAGATGATTATTTTGTTAATTTGTTGCATTTTTTTTCTCACAGTCTCTCTTCCTCGCATACCCATTACCAACCACTGCTTCCCATTGACACAGAATTGTTAATACAGCTCGTGTATTTCCAGTTTGTAAGAGCATGGTGACAACTTCCCCTTACTTCTGTGTTGGAAAGGTGAATGAAATAGTGTGTGTCCTGGCTGGTGAGAAGCAGAGCAGGGGAGCTGCACCGTGCTCTCCTGACACCGCTCTGCTCCCGTACCAGGAGAGGGGAGCTCTGCACCCTCTCACACGGAACAAATGGTTTCTGTGCTACTGAAAGATTTCCCCCACAGAGCTGAGGAATCTAAATTCACAATCTGAAGCACAGACAGATTAAAAGACCTTGCCCAAAGCCTGTCCAGGAGATTGCATCAGAGATGGATATTGAATATTGAATCAAGACACAAGACCTTTTTTTTTTTTTTTTTTTGACTTGATATACTAGAAAGTATAAACCATTTCCTTATCACCAGAAGTTTCATAAAGCTGGACCACTGATGACAATGCTTCAATCCACAACTTTAAGGACACAGTATTCCTTGACACATACTTGGCTTTCATTTAATTCAGAAGGTGCTGCACATGAATACATCAGAACCATAAATTAATTGCTACATTTGCAACATTTTAAAACAGACGTGCCACATCAATATACCTGCCTTTGTCTCTGCTATCCATACAAAGAAACAGAGTAAATCAATATCAGCAGCAATATTAAAGTAACAGGTGTTGAAGTTTTTGAATGCACAATATTGAATATTGCACGGAACACAAACCTGACAACAGCCAGATAGGGAAGGGGGGTTTGAGACCATTTTAACACAAATTTCACTGTGGTACATAAACTGAATGCATAATTCTCGTGCCCAAAGTACTGTTTGTGAGAGCAGGCTCCAGCAGGAAGGAGATTTCAACAGGTAATGGAAAAGCAACAGACACTGTCTCTACTGGCACAGGAGCTTGTGGGGGAAAACAGCACCAACTGCTTCACAACAGGATACACAAATTCATGTTCCCTAAGAGGACAGCAAAAGGACTGGCTATGTATATACACTTCACTGATCCCTGAGTGTCTAGCAAAAAAAAAAAAAATAAAAGGAAATGACTACACTTATCTACCTGTCTTGGCAAATGTACACAAAAGCAGGTGTGTAGTTTCAGTGCACATTTCATCTGTCCCCTTGGACATATGACAGATGGTCCCACTGACATGAGCTTTTAGCTTTGTCTACCATGGAAGGAATTCAAGTTGCCCTGGTAATCCAAGTTACATGGTTTACATGGTTTTCAAACAAAATTTCTGGAAGGCAATGATGAAAATGGAATTTCTAAGGCAACTGAGGCCACAAATGCAATGGAAACATTAGAGTGTTCTGTGGATTATGTACAAACAAAGCTAAGTTCAGCACCATCTCTACATTGCTGTTTTCTCAAGCTAGAAAACACTCTGCACTAATTGCCATTATTTTCTACAGTACAGAAGTAAACTCATTGTAGGTGTTTTACAGGAGTGTTCTGAATTTGATGATCATATTTTCACCTGAAATCTCTGTGCACAGGGTGGGGATTTCTACTTTTCTACGTGTACAGCAGTGATTCCATGCATGCTTACATTTCCTAAGCAAATCTTCATGAAGACTAGAGGAGGATTTAAGAAGAACAAGCATTTCACTTTTGCATACGATTCCAGAACTTGCATTTTTCTAGCCCACAGGAAACAACTTCAAAAACCTCATTTTAGGCTGCTGTCATAATATTTTCAGGCTCGAGACACAAGATTTCATTAATTTTTATGCCATCAGGATCTGTTCCAATATTAAACCAAAAAATCTGAGAGCTACTCATATGAGTGGACTACTCTGAGCCAAGATTTCAGGGACTGGCTTTAGTTCATGACTTAAAGAGATGCATTTTAAAAAAAAAAGAGGAAACTGAAAGTCTCAATATGAAATTAAAATAATTCAGCTTTTCCTCTTGGGTAACACTTTCCTGCTTCTACAGAAAGGTTCACTCAAAGCATCCCATATATCTATACTCCTTATCCTTTTTTACCTATAGGCTTGTCCTTCAACTTGTATGCCTCAAGACCGCTGCTCACAATTTAGGTTAAGCAGGAAAAGCAGGATATACACAGAGCTTTTCAAGTAACCATTTCCCAGCTTTGCTTGTCCACTAAGTCTGTGAAGACATTTGCATTGATTCCTCTGGCGCTTTTCAAGCCTCATACAAAGTGAAGTGAAACACAAAACCTCTGGACCTCGTGAACCGATTCTCTAGAGAGAACAGTGCTCTAGGCACGGCACAAATCCAAAAGCAGAAAATCCCTGAAGCTGCTGAGTATTCTCTCGTTACTGCAGCCTACCATGCAGTTAATATTAATCACCATACTGGTTTCTTGTCAATTTATACTTAACTGATCAACAAAATCCCCATGCTGTCACTTAAAACTGATAGGTTATAAAGCTCTTACTTTTAAAATCTAAAAAAATCGAATACAGCTTAACACAGGGAAAGGGCACATTAAAAGTAATTGTTTTGTAACTTCAATAGGAATTTGCATGCTTTTTATTGTAGTGTTTTCAGTCATATTTAATGGTTTGTGCAAGCTGTTCTTACACAAAGGACCACTAACTCTGTTAGGGATGGATCTCCTCAAGTCTGAAGATCACCAGCTGAGAGGTGATCTGTTAAGCCTGTCATTCCATGAGGAATGGAACAGACACAGAGCTGCAGCTGAGCCAGCAGAACATCATCTTTTCCTTTCCAAAATTGTAAGAAGCAATTATTCACTCCTTTTTCACCTTTTTCCTACCCAATTTAACTTTTCTCGTAGAATGATGGATCTTTGATGCTTTTCTTAAAATTATTTCTCTGTTTTGAAAGAATTATCCTTAATAAGATGTTTCTTATTAAGCCTAGTTAAATTTAATATTGTAATTAACAACGAATTCTTAACAAAAGAAAAAAAAATCTGATTTAAAATCTGCTTTCTTTTACATGAGAAAGTTAGTAACTCTACCCTAAAATCACATATAAAATACTATTCCTCAAGATGATATGGTCACATAACCTTTATGTTATGTTTCATTAAATACCAATGAAATACTAAAACATCATTATGTAGGTTTTAAGCTCTGTAGAAGTGGACAAGAGAAAAATTAAACCTTCATATAATTTCAAATGTAATCAGTAAGTATAAAAGGAACCAAATTAAACCCAGTGGTGGAGGTCATGGGAGTCTTCCCATTAACTTCTTTGGACTAAGGAACCAAGATAAATATGAGCAATTGAAAGGAAGAGAACTTAAAACTTACCCATGAATTCAATTCCTAAATGGTCTGCTATACTCATGAAAGCATGTAAAAGAAAAAAGAGAAAAGAGGCAGAAATGTTAGAAACAGAGTGAAATATAAATTAACCTTGATACAGCAGTGCTGCAGAGCAGTGTGGGGTCAGGGCCCACTGTGTGGGTACAGGTCCAAAACAAAGGCACAACCCTGCCCCAAAGGTGGGGATTTTGGGCACTCAGCTGTCACACGAAAGGAATGGACATGTATTTGGGGAAGGACAAGAATGCCTTTATATTTGACTTTATGTTCAAGCCAGCTACCTAAAGGGGTTTAATTTCCTGATACTCCTCTCTCAACATGCTAACCACTGTTCCTAGTGGAACACAAGGTTCTTCCTTTCATTTTCTCTTCTCGTTCTCTGAGATGAATGGAAGGCTTTTGCTGAGTTTGGCATCTCTCACCACAGCTCAGCAAGAAAGAGGAGCCACATTCCCAACTTGGCCATCAGACAGAAAAGATGCAATAATTTCAAGACATCTCAAAGTAAAGCAAAAATTTTAATGCTTTTAGAATATTGACTGAATTACCACATGGACTTCTAAACATTTCAGGGCCCTTTATATCCATGATGAATTAGAGTTCTCCAAGAACTACACAGCAAAGCTAAAAGATTTTCCAACATAACTCAACAGTTAGTTGAAACACTTCATTTTACTGCCAGCTCTGGTACCTGTGATGAGGTCATGGAATATTTGAGTTTCTGTTGAAAATGCTGGGAATTCTTCACCTTTTGCACCCTTTCAATCCACCCAGGAGAAGGCAGTGAGCATCAGCTTGCTCAGCTCACTTAGCATACAAATCTATGCTAAACTCAGTATTTTATTTTCATGCAGAGGGCACAATATGCACTTCAAAAGCAAAGAACACAAGATGATGGTATATTGTATAAATACCTTATTAGCATGGTGTTAGGGGAGGCACATTATGCACAAGTGACAAATGAATCTTCCCTTTTGAAAATACATAACTCAAAATCATACATATATATGTGTTTTCCACATAATGATCTTCTAAGCTGTATTCTGACATTCCAATACAAATATCAGGTACAAACATCCCTTGTATGTTTGACAGAAATGTAAATTTTTATAAGAATGTAATTTTTATGAAAGGATGAGATCAGATATATCAAAAGTGCATCAAACATACTATATTTACAGAGATCTGTAGCTTTTTTCCCTGTCTAATTTTCTGCACCTGTGAAACCTGCAAATGTTATCTATGTGCAATTCACACCTTTGCATTCTTCTGTAAATCAGATCAAAATGCAGTTGAAAATTCCTTACTTAAAAAAACGACAGCAGAGGATCAAAGCACCATAATGTGTTCTCCAAGGAACTAAGGATATTGACACATGGAGGATCATGTAGCATCATCTTTTTAAGTCTATGTGGAACAGCTAGAAAAAAAAAAAAATCCTTCTTTCCTAACTTGGCTATACATCTTCTCTACATGTTTTCCATTTGCAGCCTGCAATTCTCCCTTTGAGTTGGCCAACAGGGTTAAAAACCACTTCCTCAAAAAGTGGATATAAAATATACCTTTCCTTTAAAAAATGGAAAAAAAAAGCATTTCAATTCATGCTCAAGAGGCTTACACATAAGTGAGAATCAAGGATATATGGAGCCTTCCTGGAAAACATGGAGAGGGTGGAAACATGTCAGGTGATTTATTTTAAATATCTCATGTGCCTGGAAACAACATCAGCAACCAGCAAAAGATATATTGCTGACAAAGCTTATCTCCCCAGATTACGATAAAAGTATGTCCAGAGGGATAAACCTTTACAATAGAATATCCAAGCTGCCAATCATTAAGTGTAGTTCAACAAGCTCCTTGGGAACAGAAAACAAAGGAATGGTGACTCTGGCAGATGCAGCATGTGTTGGCACTGGCTATGACCATCACTGGGCTGGCCCTTGGTGAGCAAGCTCCAGCTCTGGAGATGGGTTTGTCCCCCATAAACAACAGCAAGGAACACTCCCAGCAGGTCCATGTGAGAGACACAGGGCAGCAGGAAATAACCAGCAGGGTTGTGGGGGGTTTGTGAGCTGTGGTGGTGACCTGAGACTGAAGCAAACACTGAAATGTGAAGTCCTGACCCTGGCAATCCTCGGTGTGACAAAGGACTGCTGTACAGAAGTGGTGCATGACTGATGCACTGCCTGCAGAGCACTTCCCTGGACACAGCAAGTGCAGGGCCAAGTAATTCACCATCAAGAAATGGACTCTGGTAAAAAAATGCATGTGAGAGCTATAAATGTGCTGAAGCGTGGGCGCTGCTCCACAAGATGGGGTCATTAACCAAATAATGCGGCTCTATTTTACTTCTGTTATTGTGGCTTCTTCTTTCTGTCTGGTATTGCTGTGTTCTTGGAAACCAATATATTTCTCAGATAGGGAGATTATTCACTTTTATTTTTTATTTTATCAGTATCTCTCCATTTTCATGTCAATGTGGGAAAAATACTGTGCCTTATGGTCCTTGCACTATGGTAATGTGTTGCTAGTATTAAAGCCCTTTTAATTTATACTGTCTAAATACATACACACCTGTGAATACTCAATAAAGAGGAAAAGAGAAAATAAATTTGAAGTAACTAATGGATTAATTTATTAGTGCTTCACAAACTGCCTTGTGTCTGGATTGTGGTTTGCTGCAGCTTTTTTCTTAGTCATATTAACACTGTGAACAGAAATATAAACCCAACATGTAAATCTAACTGAAAAATCTTGGACATGAAAGTACCCATTTTAAACCTCTGCAGACATTTTAGTCTTTTCTAAGGACAAGCTGACTTTGTCATGAAGACAGCTTTAGGAAATCGGAGCAACAGCAAAATATTTTCCTCTGCAAATGAAATTTATCGTTTCCAATAAATTCATAAGAGTTGTTAAATTGTCCTTGGTAAATGATTGTCTTGAACACAAAATGCAACATGATAATATGCTGGGAGAGCTCAAGTGCTGTGAACAGATTATCTGTCTAGAGGGAACAGCACTGAGTTTAACTTTTAAGTATTGGACCAATAAAACTTGGTCTGAAATAAAGGAAAATCCATTTGTAAAGCAGCCAGTTAGAGTAATACCTAAAGATACAAACTGCTGTTCTCTTGTCCATTGTGCTTTTTGATGTTTGGCAGCACACAGTTATCAGCCTATTTGTATATCTAATGAAGTGAAAACCATAATTAGTTTTATATATATATATATATATATATCTGAAATTATAGCGTTTCTTTAAAGCATATTAATTTTGGTGTTTCATTTTGCATGTGAGCACAGAGTAATTGAAGAAGGGATTTCTCTGCTCAGTTGGAAGTGTTCTGTCTTCTCTCCTCATGGGCAAACTGACCAAAGCTCCCAGTTTGATTGTTTCATTGTTTGTTTTTTTTTTTAATATCAAAAAGGAAAAGCAACAACATGCAATAATGTGTTTTAAAAGTGTCAGTTATTAAAGAGCACAAAATCTGATTTTGCTGTTTGCTTTAGAGAAATTCTAGTAATTTGTTTCTGTAATTAATTTACACAAAAGTACTCTGAGACATTTAAAAATGGATCAAACTAAATCCTGGAAATCATCTTGAATCAGCTAATTCCTGGACCTTCCTTTTACCCTCTCTGATAAAGAGGACTACTAAAATTTTTCCAGATTAAAGATTTCCCTGGCAGCAGGTAGGCTGTTCACTACACATTGTACACTAACTGGTGTAACAGTAAATACACAGAATATTTTGGTAAATTGTCTACGTCTAGACACAATAATGGAAATCACACAGCCACACTTCCCTTACAAGATACTTGGTCTGGTTTTGATGAAATATATAGAATATATAATATATATAATATATATAATTCTATATTATATAATACATAAATATATAATATTCTAAAATTATAGAAATTATAACAACTTGGAAAGAAAGAAGGCAATAAATCCATAGAGAAAGAAGGTAATAAATCCATAGAAATAACTTCACAATCTGCTGTATTCTCAGTGTAAACAATGAGAGAACATTTACACTCCCAATTTCCATAGATACAGTCAATTTTACTTTAAACCAAATTGAAGCCCTCAGTGTAAAGAAGTAAATATTGAAGACAAAATGTAAGGGTTAATTGCTTTATTCATTTATTTGTAAAGAAAAAAAAAAATACAAAGGAGGGAAAAAACCCTAGGCTTGCTGTATTTTTGTGGCTGTGGAAAGATTATAACACAGCCTAAGGACAGGATCCCCTCACCCACTATCAATTCCATAACAAAGGAAAACTTGAAAAACATCCATCAAAACCTCTTGTTGTATAAATTACACACAGTGCTGAATAATGGAATAAACAATTGATTTTCTTTTCCTTTGAATGACTAAAGCCTGTGGCTGTGATTTTCATTGCAAAAGTGGAAAGACTGTTTCTAGCTTCTGCAAATAAATAATAGCAATGCTCCCATCTTCAGGTTCAAGACAACTCAGAAATTTCAACTGTTTACCTCCCCTGCAGCATGCAGACTCAGAGGATTAAGCTTGTCTCTTTCCTATTCATTTTTAAGATCTCTTAAATTATCTCTGCAGCTAATAAACTAAATTACTTCTCTTTGAGGCACTAAGTTGGATATTAATTGAAAGCACTTAGTCTTACCAAGCAACATAAGCAATTTGTACTGATATTCACAATACTGTAAATAGGTACTGATTAATTTTTACTACTATAGCTATAAATTCAGTAGAAGAAATAAGCATGTCTACTTCAAATCAGTGAGTAGTCTATAGATATTATCATTTTAGATATATTAAACACCTGCAGAATACATTTTAGAGTTTCAGGGCATTATTATTACAGGCCACATATTTAAGAGATTCAGGCCCAAATGTTTATCATCAGATGTCAGACAAATGCAGCAGTTTTATATTTCTCTGAAAACCCATTGTTCTCAGCAATGAGATCAGAAAGCAGATATCAGTAGATATTAAATGCTGTTGTTATATGGAGACGTG